GGCCGAGTTGTAGTTTAGGTTTTTGTCTATTTTGCTCACGTGTTGAGCACGCATCACGTGTTTCATTGGAGTCATTGTCATGAGAAGCCAGTGCGCCTTCATTATCATCATCATTCCATTTCAGCCAATGGGCCCACACAGCAGATAAGGAGCATTTACTCACAATTCACGTCCGCCCGGAGCCGAGAGCCCAACGTGGCTCACTGCTGGCCTCTAGTGTCCTCACCAGCTGCCAAACACTGAACTTCACTCCATTATTAGAAGCTGATGAATATTTCAAAGAGCTGACAGTTAGTTGATTCTATTTTAAGCCTTTTACTGAAAGACTTGAACCTGCAGCAGCCAGAGCCACCAGTGATGCGCTCTCACTGTGGGATCATGTATTTTAATATTATTTATTTATAATCAAGACGTTTTATTCTTAAACCTGAAAATATATGTATTTAAATCCAGCCCAAACAGGTTTGAAGCTTACTGGTTGGTTCACAGTTAAAATGAACATCGGTCCGTTTTGTGGCATGATTGTGCTGTTTTGGCACAGAGACCTGTGATCGAAAGGTCGCTGGTTTGACTCCCTGGACTGACAACATCAAAATGTGGATGCCTTACCCTGGGCCCTTGAGCAAGGCCCCTAAACATTCGACAAGTCTTTGTGTGAGTTAATTCGCTGTGGCGACCGCTGACGAAGGGAGCAGCTGAAAGAATGAAAAAACAAAGTAAAGAAAAATGTCCATGGGCATCACCCATACTCCCCTCGCTCGGTTTCAGTCATCTCTCTCTGGCTGCACTCAGTTCATCCAACTTAAATCATTCAGATCCCACTCCTCCCCCGTGACTTCAGGTGTGCCCCAAGGCTCTGTCCTGGGGCCCCTTCTTTTCATCATCTACCTTCTCCCCCTTGGCAATATCTTCCGTAAATTTAACATTCACTTCCATTGTTTTGCTGACGACACCCAACTCTTCTTATCCACTGCACCTAAATCTTCACTTCCTCCTTCCTCCCTCACTTCCTGCTTAGCTGAAATTAAAGTTTACATCTAACTTCCTTAAATTAAACAGTGATAAAACAGAGCTTCTACTCATCACTTCCACCTTCGAAACAACCATCTCAACCATCTCTGTCCGTCCCTCTCCCTACACTCTGGTTCCATCTTGGTCCATAGTTTGGTCATTTCTCAAATTGATTACTGTAACTCTCTCCTGTTTGGTCTGCCGCAAAAGTTACTCCATAAGCTTCAAATGGTTCAAAATTCAGCTGCCAGCATTGTTACCAAAACCTCCTCATGTCACCACATCACCCCAGTTTGACAGCAAATTCACTGGTTTCCAGTCACTTTCAGAATTCAATTTAAAATCCTGGACACATTCAAGGCCATCCATAACCTCGCCCCTCCCTATCTGTCCCATCTCCTGCACGTTATCACCCCTTCACGCTCCCTTTGTTCTTCCTCTTCCATCCACCTCAACGTGCCTCTCGTCCTCCTCAGCACCGTGGGACACAGAGCCTTTTCTCACTCTGCACCCCAACTCTGGAACGCTCTGCCCCCAAGCATCCGTAATATCGACTCCTTCAGACCTTCAGACCTTCAGACCTTCAAATCACAACTCATCGGTTCAACTTAGCCTTCGCACTTTAAGGTTTTGTTATTTTCTTCTTGGTTTAATGTTTTTATAGCTATTTTATATTGTTTTATTTTGTGTTTTATTTTGTGTTTTTAATGTTGTGAAGTGTCCTTGGGTGTCTTGAAAGGCGCTAATAAATAAAATGCATTATTATTATTATTATTATTGAAAATGTGCATTTAATGCCAATTTGTTTTCACTCATTTCAGACTCGTAACAGTTTTTGTCAGTTTTACACAAACCCATCCAGGTCTTGTGACAGTGTTACATAATCATGCACATGTTTCAAGGGAGGTGTATAAACCACGTGAGCATTCTTTCTAACACACATCTGAAGTGAGACTTTACATGAAACTCACTTATGTCTGGTCTAAAAGTGAACGTGTTGTAGCGCTTCAAGTTTAGCATCTTTACAACAACTGTTACGCCTCTGGGGGTCATTTCTAACATGCACCTGTTTCAGCCTAAACGATGTCTTTTAGACATTTATACGTTTAAATAGTCTCAACAAAAAGACAGCTAATCCAGGTTGAAAGGTAGAAGTTTATAAAACTTGAACCTTTGGACCAAATATACATCTATTTTATTCTTGATGAAGCAAACGTTATATGATCCTTTAAAACACATCCTATTCCCAGTCCCTGTGAGTCCCAGTCCCACTGGGAGTGGTGGTGCAGAGGTAGAGAAAATGGGCCTGTGATTGGAAGGTCGCCGATTTGACTTCTTGGACCGACATAATCAAAATGTGGGTGGGAAAGGTGAAACACCCAGGCCTGCCTCCACCCTCATCTGGCTCACTCTGTGCCCTCGAGCAAGGCTCTTAACCCCCACATCTGCTCCCACACAGACCTCTCTTGAAAATGAATCTTTGTGACTCAACGAGACCACCTGTATAAATAAAGGTTAAATACATAAAAACAGTCAACTTTGCAGGAAAAAGTCCTAAATGAGACTTTAGAGAAGGTAACTAAATAAGACGTTCAGTATAAACTCTGCACAATGTTGATAAAACATCTGTGAGAGGTTGGAGGATAAAACAAGAGAGTTAAACTTCTAACTCTGTTTGACCAGTAGACACTGTTTCCAAGACATTCTTTATAAGTTTTACGTGCACGGTGGTGGTAGCATCATGCTGCGACGCTGATTCTCATCAACAAGGAGAAATATGTTCAATCAGTCTGCTTCAAATTGTTGTTTGTTGAAATCATTAATATCATTTATTATAAGACGAGTGGTGGTGCAGAGGTTAGAGAAAGACAGCCTGTGATCAGAAGGTTGCCGGTTCAACTTAAAATGTGTTTTTGGGGAAAGGTGAAGCACCCAGGCCTGCCTCCACCCTCATCTGCCCCACTCTGGGCCCTTGAGCAAGGCCCTTAACCCCCACATCTGCTCCACACAGCGGCGGTGGCAGCTCGGTGTCTGCGGTTCATCAGGAAGGAAAGTAAATTGAACTGAACTGAAAAAACAATCGACAGGTTCTGCAGGAGCTGATTCACTGAGGCGACCCCTGAGAACAAGCAGCCGAAAGAAAACAAACAAAAGAAAAATAATACAAATTAAAACTTTTTTACTGAAAGATGTTAGTCAATAACAATATAATTAAATAATTTAATAAGTAAATAACAGGTCTACACACACACGAATGACAGATAAAAATCCTCTCAGTGTAAATGTTTGCAGAACAACAGACTCTTTACAAAGATCCGTCTGGACTCAGACTCTGATGGAACTCGTGTTTTTTTCATTCATTCATTCAACCTTTATTTAAACAGATAAGTCACATTGAGCCTCGAAGACTCATTTAATTCCCTTTATAATCCAGCTGTTTTTTGCTATTTCTGCCGTCTCATTTTAATTTGTTAAAAATAAAATCTGTACGCCTCTTTTCTGATTGTCCATTGTTGTCATCAGTCTTTGTTGAAATCAGGTGTCTCTTGTAAATGGGTCCTCGAGGCTCAATGGGACTAACTTGTAGAAATAAAGGTTGAATGGATGAATTTACAAGTGAGACCTGTTTGGACAGACTTGTGCTGCAAGAACAAGCTGCAGAAGAACTGTCAGTTCCTTCTGTCATCTGGCCTCTAGATGACACTGCTACTCTACAGTTAATGAAGTTTAGTTGGGATGATTTTAGTGAAACTGGCTTTATTTACAATAAATTAAAGTCACATTTGTATCTTTGAAATGGATGAGATAAACATGGGACTTTTACATGCTATTAAAGTATGTAGCTTTTAAATAGAATTAAATAAACTTTGTAGAAACAGATCTGGTCCTTTCTTGAAGAACTTTGCAGTAAAGACGAGGTGCAAATGTATTTTAAGAGCACAACAATTTGCTAAATGTTTTAATATTTCAATGCTTATATGTTTTTATCTGAACTTTTCAGGGTCTTGCCTTTAAACACATCATCACATCAACATCACATCATCATAACAACATGTTGTAACAACATATGACCCACACAAATGTTTATTTGTCCCATTGAACACACATGAACACATGAACACACATGAACACACATGAACACATGAACACACATGAACACACATGAACGCACATGAACGCACATGAACACACATGAACACACATGAACACACATGAACACAAACACACATATGAACACATATGAACACACACATGAACACACAGTTCTTACAACAATATAAATGTCCATCCATCCATCCATTTTCTTTACCCGTTTGTTCCATTTTGGGTCACGGGGGTCGCTGGTGCCCATGTCCAGCAATCACTGTGTGAGGGGCGGGGGACACCCTGGACAGGTCTCCAGTCCATCACAGGGACACATAGAGACAAATGAGACAAACAGTCACTCTCTCACTCACACCTAGGGGCAATTTAGAGTTACCATCAGCCTAACATGCATGTTTTTGGTCTGTGGGAGGAAACTGGAGTACCCGGAGAAAACCCACGCATGCACGGAGAGAACATGCAAACTCCACCCAGAAAGGCCCCTGGACCGGGGTTTGAACCATGGACCTGCTCGCTGAGAGGCAGCAGCTCTACCCGTTGCGCCACCGTGCTGCCACAATATAAATGTGTAAAATATAAAACTATTTTACTTAACTCGTTACTACATGAAGGTTTACAGAGAAAAACAAAAATAAATGCGTCCTGCTCCACTGGATTCATTCTGCAGACTGATGAAATGATGGAAGTCAAAACTAAAATGTTCCAGTTTTTGTTTGTTTGTTTGTTTGTTTGTTGACCAACTCTCGCTGTCTTCAGTTCAACATGTTGCTGTATTTTAGTTGTAAATCAGCTAAAATCCAGCTGTAGAGCTCGCGTGGGTCGGGTGGGGGCGGGGCGGGTTGGGCTCTCGCGCACACTCTGCAGTGCTCGTGTTGGATGTTATGCTCGTTCCGGGGCGGCAGCCTCAGTGATGAGGCACCAGGCAGCTCCATCACTGTCTCCATCCCTCTCTGAGCCGACGAGGAGCAGACTGCTCAGCGTATGACCCCCCAGGTAAGAAGACATCTTGAAAAGCTGCATCGCGCACATTTAACCGTCATCACAGGTTTCTGGGACCACGAGGCTGAAGCCTCATCCGGAGAGGATGCTGCTCCTCATCATCAGCGTGAACAGGGCGCCGAGCTTTAACACAAAATGGTTCTGTATCTCCTCACGTCGTGCGTGTTTATGAGCACGTTTGTGGTCCAACTCGTCTCTAAAGGTCGGAGCTCGGTTTCTGTTCACACCTTCAGACATGATCAGCTGAGATGATCCATCCTGGTGCTCGATCATTATTGGGTCTCCGCACGGTTCGTGTCGGAACAAGTTCTGTTCTGCCAGAGCTCCTTTAAAAATTAAAAAGAGAAAGAAACGGCTCCATTTGATCGTTTTCTTCCAAAGCTGCCTCGTACTAAATGCTCCCATCTCATCAGTCATTCATGCTCAGCTGGTGAGTCCAGGGAACTGGAGGCACTGTCCTGTCTGTGCTGGTTCATTACACGTTCCAAGGTGTAACGACTGGGAGCAAAGGAAGCTTGGTGTGATCCAGCCACAGCTGGATGTTCTTTGTTCAGAGAGAACAGTGAAGGCATCGCCTCAGCTTCTTGTAGCATCTCTGACTCTGAGCTCAAAGCTCACGAGATGTTTCCTTTTGGTCAACATGCTGATTACTGTCTCTGGATTGTGTCTAATATACATTTCTGTTAGAGGGTTTGCCACCAAACAGCTCAGTGTCAGTTTCTTCCAAATATTCTGTTGGTCACCTTTAAACCATTGACTTGAGCCCAGACACATTTCATTTCCACGAGAAATAAATATTAGGTCATGAAGAAAGCATCAATGTTCTCAAACCTCAACCAATCTCTCAATGGACAGATGTTCAGGTTGGACTGCAGCCAACGCTTGACTCCATTTAAAGGAGGTTCTGATGCATCTATGTAAAAACGAGCAGTAGCTCACTTTAACATAATCTGGACAGATTAGAGCTAAGTGGGAGAGTTTTATTCTTTTGGAAGCATGCATGAGTTCATGGAGAGCGCTAAGTGTTTCCTTGATGTTTGAAGGAAACCATGTGAAACATCAGTCGGTGTAAATTCTCTGAGCTTTGCCAAGTTTGAACTGGTTTCGTTTTCATGGAACTGGTATCCTGAAAGTAACTGAGTAACGTCATAAAACTCGCTTGGGTCCTCTTCTGGGTTTCCTTGAGTTTGTTTCAGAAGCTTCAGTGTTTCCATATGAAAAGGACGTGGATGTGTCCAAGCTGAAACCCAACAAAGATTATAACAATTTTCTGTCGGGTCATACACTTTCTTTTTTTTTTCTGAAACTTTTTCACCTTCCATCCAGAAGGCTTCATCAGTCAAGGAAACACACAACACCAAACTGATTCTTCCCCCAGTGGAACAAACCAGTTTGACATGACTGTTGACGAGGGAGAGGGCGGGCACCGGAGGAGGGGGCGTGCCAAAGACACCATCTTAGCACCAACATAACTGGTTTGTTCCACTTTTGAGTAAGCTGTTTGGGGGAAGAATCAGTTTTGTTGTGCGTTTCCTTGACTGATGAAGCCTTCTGGATGGAAGGTGAAACGTTTCAGCACAAAAAAAAACAAACTGTATGACCTGACTGAAAAATGTTGGATTGTATACCTGGATTATTGAGCATGGACTTTGTTGGTATAAAGATTAAACTTTGTCGACAAGTGAAACTAATACTTGCAGTGAAATTCTGGCGCATGGATCAAAATAGGAGGAGAGATAACTTCCATCTCAGCCGTGTCAATAGAATCACGTTTTTGTTGTTCTTTGTCCTCGTTTGTCCTCCTCCTGTCACTTCCACCTGCTATGTTTGCCCCGCCCCCAAACGGCTGGTTCGTGCAGCACCTGCAGTAAAGGTCAGAAGGCCTCCCCGGCCTCTGTGCTCGGCCTGCAGTCGTAGGACGCTGGTTCTGCAAACGGACCAGAACCGTCGGTGACTCTGACTCTCACATCAGCGGAGACAAAGAGCAGAGCAGTTCATCAGAAATAGTTTTACCTTATTATTTTAAATTGCTAAACACTTTACAGTGAATCATGTTAAAGCTCTTAAAATGCAAAATGTTTATTTTAAACAGTTGCAACTTTTTCTAGATGGCCCTGTTAGTAAAATATTACAAGAATCCAATTTAAGTTGTTAGGTTTGTCTTTATTCTTTTAAAAGGGCAATCAAAATCCCAATTTATGGCAACCAGTGTCATAATAAATACAATTGTGTTACAACTAGAATGAGCAGATTTCAATAAAATGCAAGTTTGAACATGTTGTCATTGATAAATGAACTAGATGTTTTCTGTGTTCGAGACAAATCGCTTTGATTTGAATTAAATAAATCTTAAAAAAATAAATATAATAAAAATACACTGCTACATTTGCTGTGATGCTTCAGCTGGTCTGTGGACTGAGAGGTTCTTAAACTTCTGGTTTTGGTCATCATCATCATGATGACACGTAATCAATATATAACAATATACTCATTTTTTATTATCATTTAGTTTGAGCAGCTTTTGTCCAGTGGTAGGGAGGCTATCCATCAATCAGAGGGTTGGGGGTTCAATCCCCAGCCCTGCAGGCTGATTTGTCCTTGGGCGAAACACTGACCCACCCCTCCTCCTTATCAGTGCATGAGAAAACATAAAAGGTGCTTGATAGGGAGTTTACATTGTATAATAGCAAAGCATGAGTGTGTGTGAAGGAGTAAAGTGGGGACGTAAAGCACTTTGCAGAACCTGGTCAGATTAAAAAGGCTCTGTTTGAGTGTGGACATTTACTCTTAATGTAGAAATATTTACTAGTTGTACATCAAGTGAGTCATTAAATTAACCATTCAGACCCTGAAGTGGTTGAGAAAACATTTACTGATGCTGCAAAATAAGTCTGGAGACAATTTATATTGAAATTATTATAAACTTTTGTTTGCAACCACAAGAGTGGACCTGTAGACAGATGTTGGTCATCATCCATGTTTATTCTTGTTTTTTATTGTCGTACATCAGCACATTATAACTGTGGAAACACACTCTATTAAGATTGTTCTTGTTGTCGTTAGTTATTTCATCACTTCTTGAAGGGCCGATCTATGAGGTCAGTCTCCTTATGGCTCAGTTTTATTAAAATATAGCATTAAAAGATTATTTTCATTCGTTTTCCTACTGAAACAAATTTATACATGAACCTTGTTTCATCTAATTCTGCAAAAATCTAACAATTTTATAGAATATTTGGACAAGCTGGTGCTGTTTGAGTGCTGTACAGTCAAATGTAGCAGTCGGTCAGCCATATCACTCTTAAACTGGCTTAAAGCTTGTCCAAAACCACTTACATACATATATATATATATATATACATATATATATATGAATATTTTTATGAAATCTCGTCTTCTCTTTGTGTGGGGGAATGGTGGAGCCAAGGTTCAAATCCCACTGCTGATCATAACCAAAATGTGAGTGGAAAAGGTGATTTGCTCCCCCCCCACTCCCGGCAGTCCGCTGCACCACACAGGCCTGTGATAGCTCTGTGGTTGAGACAGGAAGGACATCCGGTATAAAGCGACTGCCAAATCCTCATGTGATCAGCAGCTCGCTGTGACCACCCCAGAAGAAGGAAGGAGAGATCTAGAAGCACAAGGTCATCTCTGTGTGCAGCTCATGATGTGGCACCAGAATGACAGAATGTTTCTGCGTCTCGTCACCACAGTCTTGGTTGATTTTTTTTTATTTTAAGGGCAAATTCTTGGTTCATCTTTTCCCTCTTGAGGGTCTCCACAGCGAGTCCTCGTCCATCTCACTCTGTCCTCTGTGTCCTCTGTCTCACTCTGTCCTCACTCCAACTACCTCCATGTCCTCTCTAACTGCATCCATACATCTCCTCTTTGTCTTTTTTTATCCTTCGCTCCTGGTGCAGTTCTGCTGGCACCCTGTCTGTCAATAGTACCGGTGGCAGGAGTCGTTAACCAGGTCTGGACTGAGTGGCTGCTGTGTGGACGAACGTGCATGTTTGGTTTGACAAAAGTGTCTTGTCTTTCCTGACACAACCCTCGTCAGGCTTGGGGCCAGCATGAGACATGCACTGCTTGTGCTCCTTTGTGGCTGGTTTTACAAGAGCAAATACCACTTTCACTAAACGACGAGTTTTGACCGAGGGACAAAACTAAAAATGAAGTGAAGTCAAAGTTTATTTATGTGGCACATTTACAAGAACCTCAGCTGACCGAAGTGCCTCACAAGAATCACAACGACATAGATAAAAATATGATCAAATAAATAACATTGAGTCTAATACAAATAAAATGATGAAAACTGGCAGTAAAATACCAATAAAATAATAGTATAAATAACAAACAAGATATACTGTTTTATTTGCTGCCATTTCCCAAACCTCCAATCAGTCAGGTACTAATTAGGAGCTGAAGTGAAGTTAAAGACCAGGGAGGACAGATGTGTTTCCAGTGTGGACTTCATCTGATCTAGAGACAGGGAGATCTTCACAGACAGAGGGAGGTTGATCCACAGCCTGGGTGCTGCCACAGAGAAGGCTCTGTCTCCTCTAGTCTTCAGCCTCGCTTTAGGGACGGCCAGCAAGAGCTGGTCGGCCGACCTCAGGGCTCTGGATGGAGCTGCAACAGCTCGTTTAGTTAACACAGGCCCAAGGAGTTTAAACACTTAAAAACAACCAATAAAACTTTAAATTTCACCTGAAACGCAGCAGGGAGCCAGCGAAGGGAGTGCAAAACAGGGGTAATGCTTTGTGCCTCCTTGTGTTCGTCGCTGCAGGGAGCTGTGGTCCAACCTAATACAAAGAGTTACAACAATCTTAACACGATGTAAAACACGTGTGGATAGTTCTCCCCCTCAGGTTCAGGAAGACAAGGTTTTAGCTTAAATGATAAAATGTAGAAGGAGTTGCAGGATTCCAAGTTACGTTCTGTGAATCATTCAGACAATATACAGTTTTTTCAAAGTTTCATTAGAGAAATTT